GTTTTTCGTTTCTCTAGTCTTTTCACATTGTTCACTACAACCCAAGCTCTTTTTTGCCTTGTTTATTGTGCATTAGTCAGCATTTTACACATTATAGCTTAATCCCAACTAAACATATTAAAATAACACTTACAACCTGTGGGAGCAATAAGGAAATCAAATCTGTACATTGCAAGAAGACCCTAACATCTGGCCTTTCCAGCTGTTACTTGTTGAGATGTGGAGAGTACATCTGAAAGGCTTTATATCCTGTGAAAATCCCCACCCCTGAAACAACGTCTCAGTATGGATGATTTGGAAGCAACAGCAGCAAAAGCCAGGCTGGAATAAAGGGTGCTGCTAACTGAGACACTCATGGTAGCCAGGGACAGTTTCTCCAAGGGACAAGGAGACTGACTTTGCATCTGACCGATCGTTCTACCTCTCTCAATGCCAGAGGCACCTAACGGCTTCTGCAGCCCCTCAGCGATGGTCCTTATTTCTAGTGTCACTGCTTTCCATGCCAATTTACAAACCCCGCTGCTTTTTCCCTCCATGTGCTTAAAACGCAGCTGTTCTTCTCACCTTGCCCAGCCTGCAAAATGGCACCTGGGCTTTGGGAGTCAAATGGAGCTTTCCCTTCTTGTCTACCACGGCAGGGAAGAAAGCTCTTGCAGGCAGCGTTTTGCCCTCAGTTTCACTTAGGAAATGCCTTATGCTCCTCCTGGGAGCTGTTTGTTTGACTCCTAACTGGGGCACGGCGAACATCTCTGTTGCTTATATGCAAGAAAGAGCAGAGTTATTCTATTCCTGCAGCTGCTGAAGGTATTTAGAAGTGTATTTTGTCAGCCTCTCTAACTGAATACGCAACAGACAGAGCTGCTCAGCTAGAAGGTGCCATTTCTGGTCTAGCCCTATCTCAGAGCACATCACACCACGAGTCTGACATATCACTGCGTTGTATCTTATCTGCCTCCTGCACAGTCAATGGAAAACGCCACATGCAGCTCTGAGCGTTGCTCGGCTGTCTGACGCTTGCCAAGTTTCTCTGCATTTCTAAGCACAAGTCCTGCCCACGATACCAAGGAAACCGACTTCCCCCACTTTAAGACTCCTCCGTGAGATCCCGCCCATTAAGACACAGAGCAAAGAATGCACCCACATGCTTGTGCAAAGGGCAGGTGAAATATTCTTCTCCACTGGTCTTGCACCAGTTACCTGGCACCTAACTCCCGAGCCCAAGGACCACCTTGCCAGGAAAGCGAGGGAGCACCATGAGAAAGACAGAAGGAGGTGCTGGTGTAGCGGGTGTTCAGGAGGTCTTGTCCAGCCCTCCCCTCCGCTTGTTTCACTTGGCGCTTGTACGCTAGGCTTCAAAAGGCAACTCTTTTGAAGGATGCCTCCTTTATCCTGACCGCGCTATATTGCTATCATGTTGCATCTTCACCAGCGTTGCTAAAAAAAAAAAAAGAGTTTTAAAAGAAGGGAGACAGCTGAGCTGAGGGCATTCCTTCTGAGGCAGGAGATTCCCTCCCCACTGCCACGTGTCCCCAGGGACCTGACAGTTGTCACCGTGTTCCCCGGTTCACATGTCTCTCACTGAGAGACGTACAGCCATGGCTACTTTCTCATCTCGGCTTAGTCTGCGGATTAGGGCTCAACATCAAGTTACCACAGTTCACCAAGTTTCCATGAGTCAGCTGAGCCGAGGTTTCTGCCCATGCGTGCACTTGCAGCCTGCAGCAAATGCAAAGTAATGTGACTTAGCCTGGTCTGCAGCGAAAGAAAATTAAGCTAAGCCGCATTACTGCACATTTGCCATCAGTGAGGAGAGCACACGCTGTAAAGTCCTGGGCCTCAGCCCCCAGGGACAGTTATTAAACCATGGGGACTTGCTCATGTGCGACCATTTCTTGTGCTGGTGTGCAATAACTTCTGCGCGTAGACCTCATCCAGCTGCAGAAGTTACACACTCCAGGCTTACTGTTTTAAGCAGCAGTGTCTAGAAAATGTGGAGGTCATGCTTTATAACAGAGAACAACAAAGGACAAAATGCTTCAATAATAAGATGAAAAGCCTACAAGCTCCTAAGAACAGCAAGAGGAACAGCATAACTCCATGTACCTCAGGAACATCCACTGCTGTGAACAAACAGGGCTTCAAATAATGTTGAAACATAGATCGTTCTTCAGTCCCTCTCAAACCATAAGTGCTCACAAAAACACATGCATGCTGGTTGTACACGGGTTGTGTTCCCTTTTCTCTTCCCAAAGCACCCTAAAACAAAGACAGGCTGCTGCAGATCACACGAGCCATAGTCCTCACTTCACATCTTCTGGCCTAGAGTTTGACAAGCTGACTGGGAATGTCGGATAAATGGGACTGGCATTTTCCACAGATTCAGTTTACATGCAGGATTTACTCGTTAATTCATTTGGACAACACGTGAGTGAAGGTTACCTCTTTCACATGCAACTAATACTGGAGAACGCATCTACAAAATTAAGAGGTGATGTGAAGTAGTATATGCTGTCTGCCACCCTTCCTGTATGGAAATATTGCTAATTGATAGCTTGAAAGTGTCTGACTTGCTGTGCTATGTTATACAGGATAGGTAATTTTGTCTTCAAAAGGTTCATGAAGGTAGTTATGACGGCAAATGCGAATGGCAGCAAAGCAGAAAATTCCAATCTGAGGCACAGCACACCACTGCTGTCCTGCTGATCTGAGGTCTGCGGATGCTCCTATCACAACTCCAGCTACGGATCACTTTTAAAGTACGTGCAGAGGCAGAGAAAGAAAGGGATAGTTAATAATTTAAAACAATAACAATCATCAGTGCTAGTCAGGTAAAAGAATAACCTTAGTTCACTCTGTAAATGTTTATACAACAGTCTTATCTCCAGCTATGTCCTCTGCAGCTGTAGGTTAATTCTTACTCTTCCAGATTTTGTGAGCTGTGGGAAGAATTAAATCTCCGCTGGCCTGGGATCATATCAGGCTGTGTTTTCAAACACGTGTTGTACAGTATTAACACGTGAAACAAGCCTGGCCCTAAAGCCCCAAAACTACTGAGCAAAAACAAACTGGTTCTGGGCCAGAAATATCTTATAAAACTAAAAAGAGATGGTATGCAGCTGCTTAAATAAAAGGCAATGTTTTAAAAGTTTCAGTCACATGCAACTGCTTTCACAATATTAAGAAGAAGATGGAACTGTAGAAGGTATCCAGGTTCACCTTCAGTAAATGCCAGCTTCTGTAGGTCTGGGCCGCTTTGGGTCTGGGTGCCTGCCCTGAGCCGGTAGGTTAGAAGTTCAGC